AAATTGGGATTTTAACTACCGTTGTCCCACAAACTTATAATTTTTAAGATAGACTTGTTTAATTGTTTGGACAGTTAAAACACAAAATTGTATGGTTCAGTCTGAGTAGTTCGAGAATGTTCACCAAATAGATGATGAATCAATATCACAAATATCATAGATCATCATTGTGCACTAAACGGTAAATGATATAACTAAAATGTTGGTGTGTGCACAACGATGATAATAATAAAGATGAGCCAAAAGTCCTTCCATGATGTCTTTACCTTTTATTTACTTGTTTGGGCTTGGGCCTTGTTTGTTTTCATATAGTTACGATTTCTTATCTTGGCATTAGTATTAGAATCCCCATCTATTTCTCCTGTTTGTTAGATTCTTTGGGGGCGTTGGAAAATTTGTTTTAGCGGTAAATCATAATTATTGAAAGGGGTTTAATTTTCTCATATTGAATAAGAATTCAATTCTCATGTTGTAGAGATAAAAAGCATGTGGGACTCATGTGTTAGAAAAAATTATATGTATGACCCATGTCAGCACGGAAATCGAAGGGTGTGTAGGAAAATTTTAATTCTCATATTAAATGAGAATTATAAAACCCTTATTGAAAATATGGTAGAGAAGTAAATTTTAAAAGAAAGTTAAAAAAATATATTTGAGACCTCGAAATATTACTGAAAAAATTGATTTAAATTTTCCGAGTCTATATTTGATTAAAGGTAAAATATTGCTGAAAAATGTGTTGAAATTACGGAAGTAACTCTTGTCTATCAAATTTTGACACGTTATTTCAGAGATATTTGTATCCAAATTTTTATTCCCTAATTTTTTTGTTTTCCAGTTAAATCAAAATATCACCTATGATTGTTATTCTCGAGTGATTATCTGGATAAAATTGTATACACAATATCACATTCCCATATCCTTTGAATCTTATATGAACTTTTCCACACAACAAAATAAAACTCTTCTATCAAACAAACCCTTAATTGGAGTAGTTTGTTAGGATATGGACTCATGGATCAGGTCCATTACATATTGAATATTGAAAAACCAAATAAATAATGGGATAGGATATTATTGTTATTAAATAATATTATTATCATATCTTAACCATTAATTTTTGTGGAAGAATAATTATCATTTATTATGAATTAATAATTAATTAATAAATTTAATTTGTGAAAATAATAACTGTTTACGAAAATTAAACTGTTACAACACGATAGTTAATATCCTATCCCTTGAATAAATAAATAGATCATAATTTGGAACAGTGACCAATTTGCCACTGATTATCATAAAATTTACCAGAATGCCACGCGCACAGTAAAAATTCCCAAACTGCCACGCAGGCTAATTCGCTACATAGTGTAGCGAATTAGGCCGGATGATGTGTTACCTACTCACTGGTCCACGTATTTCGCTACACAGTGTAGCGAAATACGTGGTCAAAAGGTCAGCCTGGTCAGTCACCTTTTGGACACGTGTCAAGCCACCCATATTTCGCTACACTGTGTAGCGAAATATGTGGCAACGGTCACCTGCTGCACTGCGCATGTCAGACACGTGGCAGCTTGGCACAAATTCGCTACCTTGGGTAGCGAATTATGTGCATCTTTTTTCCTATATAAACCCCACGGTCCCCTCCCCTCCCCCCACCAATTTCCTCTCATCCTCTCCCTCACTCCCTCTCTCTCTAAGTGCTTTCTCTCTACAAGGTTAGTAATTTTTTTTATGGGTTTTATAATTCTCATTTAACATGAGAATTCAAATTTTCCTACACACCCTTCGATTTCCGTGCTGACATGGGTCCTACATATAATTTTTTCTAACACATGGGTCTCACATGCTTTTTATCTCTACAACATGAGAATTGAATTCTCATTTAACATGAGAAAATCAAACCCCTTTTTTATTGCTTTTATAATATGTTTGTTTCATTGATTATGTTTTTTTTTTATAAATGGGTTATATTATCTTATATTTATACTTTAAACAATAGATTAGTAAATATGTTATATTATTTAGTGTTTAGGCTTGAAACTTTAGGTTAGTAAATATGTTATGTATTTAGTGTTAATACTTGAAACTTTAGGTTAGTGAATGTGGTATATTATTTAATGTTGATATTTCCAACCTTAGGCTAGTAAATGTGATTATTTTAAATCATGCATAAATGATTAGGTATAATTTATTTAATTTATTATTTAAGCTTTAATATATGTGTAATGTTATTTAATTTTGGTTTTTGATACCTTAGGCTAGTAAAATGTGTTAATGAATTCCATGCTATAATGCTTAGGCTAATATAAATAATTTTTTATTAATGCTGTAATATTTTGTGAATATTATTTAATGTTGGTATTTGAAACGTTAGGTTAATAAATGTGTGAATTTATTTTACGAATGAATTCATGATTAGGTCTACATAATTAAAAATTTGAGCACAAAATATATAAACGTTAATAATTTATAAATTTAGATTTTGGGTTTAGGGTTTTAAAACCTTAGGCTAGTAAAATGTGTTAATATTATTTAATGTTGGTATTTGAGCCATTAGGTTAATAAATGTGTTAATTTATTTTACGCATAAATGAATGGTTAGGTCTACATAATTAAATTTTTTAATTATTTTATAAACGTTAATAATTTAGAAATATTGTTTAATTCTTAAAATTTTGAAACCTTAGGTTGGAAATTATGTGAATCTATTAAGTTATAAAATCGTAGGTTTAATTAATTTAATTTATTATTTATGCTTTAATACTTATTTCATTGTTAGTTACTGTTGATGTTAGACACGATAGGTTATCAATTTATTTTAATTTAGTTAAAGCAGAAACTTAAATGGAGAAAAACCTTTGAATTGTGCTTTTATTAATTTTTTATTTAGCTAAATATTTATGAATTCTTTGTTCATGAATATTAGTTTAATTGTTTTGTATTAATTTATTTAGATATGGAGCATGATGAGGCACCTCGTCCTGGGTCTCCACGCAGCGTGATTGACCCTGGGCCTTCAGACAAGACTCTCCTAACGTTACAGGAGAAACATATATCCACACATGTGTGGAACACCTGTGAGGATCCGAATGTCCCGGATCGTGTGATTAATGTGCGACATGTTGCGACACATGATCACCGTGCCATTCCTGAAGAGATTGAGCCATGGCTGAGGCAGGCTGGCTTCTACCATATTGCGCGCCTACGCAACCATGAGGTTAGTAATTTTTTATTGTATCACTATATCCTGACTTTGGCATATGGCATTGTGATAATAATATATTTATTGCTGATTGACCACATATTTTTTATGATTTCAGATAGACCATTCGCTTGTGTCTGCGCTTGTCGAGCGATGGCGCCCAGAGACACGGACATTTCATATGAGGATGGGCGAGGTCACCATTACCCTGGAGGATGTGCGATGATTTGCCATACAATATTGTTTAATTGCCATCTGTACATCTTGCTTAGTGTCAAACAGTTGGTCCTTATATAGCTCGTTGTCGATCTGCCAGTTAGGTATTTGTGCTCCATTCATATCATCCAATTCTTGATCTGGATATTCCCAATTAACATTCGTGAAATGGCTAACTCTAGACCAAAACGGTACATTATCATTTCCTGCATAATAACATATCCAAAACCCCAATATATTAATGTCGTTATATTTGATATTAGATATTTTATTATAAAGCATTAATCCTTACGTACCTGCAACAGGAGGATCTTGCATTCCGACAATGCCTGGCGATGGAATTGGTTGTTCAACTGCAGTAGACGGACAACAATCAAAGTCACCATCGACATCCGTATCCGATGACTCGCTATCTGGAACAAGACCTTCATCACGCTCTTCCTCGAAACTATCTGTACGCCAAGATGGATCGTACATGTCGTTGGCTGGAACCGCTTCATAAAAAATTTCTTGAGTTGGTGGTGCAAGCGTTGGGGACGCGAGCTCAACTTCCAGATTAACCACGGGCACCATGTTTATGTCGATGATGTCAGTGCATGGATTGCTCAGTTGACTGCTGGATTGTCCACCGTAGTTGACTTCTGCATACAATTCAATAAATCTTGACTCGCCGTGTTCAGAAGTGCTTGCATCTACGACTAACGTTACATCTTCATCGTCGACAATTTCCACACCAACTCATTGCACGGGGTTACCCGAGGCACATCTAGCGGTCAACCGAGCAAGAGTTTGACCACATTGTAATCTTAACTTCTTGTATATTAACTTCTTCAGCTCGTGAAGATTGCATCTTGGGTTCATGCGAAACATTTTTGCATCACCTTCAAACACTTGCCCGTTTGGACCAAAGTATTTTCTTCCATTATGATATACAGTTGCTATTAAATCATTCCTACCCTCACTCATCCTACAAAAATAGAAAAAAAAACTAAGATTCAACAACAACACAAAAATAGTAAACCTTAACATAAAAGGAAAAATTTCGTAGGGGTGGTTCACACACAAAATGGACTAATTTATAGCTTATAATTCGCTAGGGGTAGCAAATTAATCATCATAATTCGCTATACCCCTAGCGAATTAGGGGGGAGATGACACTTGGCAGATATTACATATTTCGCTACGAGTCATACCAAAAATAGCCCCATAATTCGCTATGTAGTACAGCGAATTATGTGGGGAAGTGACACGTGGCCTGACTTTGAGTTGACATGAACTGACGCTTCTGATGCATAATTCGCAACCCTGTGTAGCGAATTATGTGTCCAACAGAGATGTGACACGTGTCCAAAAGGAACTGACCAGACTGACCTTTTGACCATGTATTTCGCTACACTGTGTAGCGAAATATGTGGACTAGTGAGTAGGTGACACATCATCAAGCCTAATTCGCTATACTGTTTAGCGAATTAGCCTACATGGTAGTTTGAAAATTTTTACCGTGCGCTATAATGAACAGTGACAAATTGGTCACTCTTACTCATAATTTAGCGACCAACAGCACCATTTCAGGTCCTCACCTAACCCCACCTCTCAGTCATCGTCTTCTTTTGAAAGCACACCATGTTTTTGTTATTGTTACCTTATTCACTCACCAACCACCAAACCATAACCTCACATCGTCTTCCGTTTCTCTCATCTCATTCCTGAATTCTCCAATGGCTTCCACGCCCACCCATTTCTCTCTTTCTCTCTCCACCAAACAAGTAAACCGAAAACCCAATTACCCCTCTTCTCTTCAAAAACCTAAATTGTTGCATACCCACTCTTTATTTTCCTCTCCTAAGAACCATTTTCACTTGAACTCGAAGCGGGCTTCTGTTTCTAGCGCGTGTTCAGCACGGAGATCAACCATACGCGCTACTTCGTCTCAAGTTATGGATCCCTTTGCAGCAAAAATCGAAACTGGGCTTCCCGCCATTGTCGATGTCGATTTGGGCAATCGTAGCTATCCCATTTATATCGGATCCGGGTTGCTTCATAAACCCGAGTTTCTTCAGAGGTAACAATTGTTGATCAATTGAATTTTAAGTTCAATTTTTTTTTTTTTGTCTCGTATACTTCCAGACTCTGTAGTTATTATCATTTTTTCATTTACTTATAACCTGAATGATAGTTGATATTTTCAACTTCCAAGTTATAACAATGGACCACAATTTGGGAGAAAACAAAAACAACCATCTGATCAATCAGTTTATAAGCTAATAAGCTTGACTATTTTGTGCGTGTACGTGTAGTGTCCTATTTATTTCCAAAAATAGATAAGTGTCCTATTTATTTCCAAAAATAGATGAGAACTCAACTATCTAGCGAGGCAGGATTTTATTTCATGTTTGTATTATTCTAAAATGCTCTGTTCTTACTAGTTGATCATTATGTGATAGGCATGTCCATGGAAAGAGAGTCCTTGTTGTCACTAATAAAACGGTTGCACCACTGTATCTAGACATAGTTGTTGATGCTTTGACAAGGGGAAACCCAAATGTTTCTGTCGAGAGTGTAATTTTACCAGACGGTGAGCAGTACAAGGACATGGTAGGTCTTTCGTGTTTGAATTGACTGTCATGTGTTTTGACACTCTTGACGATTGCATAAAAAATGGTTGTATGTTCAACTGATAGGATACTCTAAAGAAAATCTTTGACAAGGCCATCAAGTCACGATTGGACCGGCGGTGTACATTTGTTGCTCTTGGAGGTGGTGTGATCGGCGACATGTGTGGCTTGGCTGCTGCTATCTTCCTACGTGGTGTTAATTTTATTCAGATTCCTACCACTGTTATGGCACAGGTCTTTCGCTGCTCTATTCTAAATTTCTTTTCATGATAAATGTCAATCAGATCTGTTGCTGCTCCATGTAATGTTTATGGTTCTAGTCTCTGCTGCTACTGACATTGTCCTTTTTCCATTCATTGGATCTTGTATTATGTTCCTAGGTTGATTCTTCAGTTGGTGGCAAAACTGGGATAAACCACGACCTTGGAAAGAACTTAATTGGTGCTTTTTACCAACCCCAGTGTGTGCTTATAGACACAGACACATTGAATACATTGCCAGACAGGGAACTGGCATCAGGGCTTGCAGAGGTTATAAAGTATGGGCTCATCAGGGATGCAGAATTTTTTGAGTGGCAAGAGAAAAATATGCAGACATTAGTGGCAAGGTAAAATTTTAATCAAGTATGATACTGTTTCAAGCTTGCATTCCTGCTATTTGCCTATTCCGTTTTCATAATTAAGCTTGTAATAATGGGTGAAAGTGTGAAACATCCCATGGGTCACAGAAGCAAATGTTCTGGGAAATGTATGTTAAATTATGTACTTTTGGCTGGAAAAAATATCTCAACATTGAGCTTGATGACTTCTCATTACTTATTAGCTAGTTGCGTGAATATAGATATGAAGATCATACAATATGCATATATAATAGTTTTTTAAAAACTTAAGATACTGGTAAGTTTGTATACATGAAATAAAATATGTGTATTTATATATTTAAATTAAAGTCAATTTTATCTACATGTGATTATCCTATCTCAACTCATGTTCCATGTGTTCTCCCTGTCTCAAGTCCCCATGTAATAATTTTGAAGTTGGCAAGTACTTTGAGGGCGACAGATTCCCAAAAAAAAATAAAATGATACACCAAATGCAGGTGTATTATACGAGTATCTGTATGGGACATGGTTGCGCCACCATTTTGGAGTATGTGTGCATCATAGCTTATTAATGCCACATACTTTCTTGTTGGTCTATTCATTTTTATCAGAATATTGTGCAATTGCTTTCATAATGCTCTTCTACTCTTCTAGTTTTTACAATTTAATGTCATCCACTACAGAGATCCAAGTGCACTGGCATATGCTATAAAGCGATCTTGTGAAAACAAGGCTGAGGTTGTGTCCTTGGATGAGAAGGAAAGTGGACTGAGGGCAACATTGAACTTGGGTCATACATTTGGTCATGTGAGTGATTGTCTTTCACTGGTTATTTAATTACTTTAGTTTGCAAAAATACCAAATCTGCACTGTGAAGATCTTCGTTAGGTTTATGTACTCATGAACAAGTATAAAATTTTAAATATAATGAAAAAAGAATTTAAGTAAATGGAGACATGATTGTTTGAGAAAAATTTATTAGCTAAGATGGTGTGCAAATACTAGTTAATTACGCCGCAATAGCACCGCGAGCCGCGCTGTATGGGCGTTGTGGTGTCTCACCGCTCCGCACCGCATTGGAACGCAACAGCAGTCATTGCGATCGCAAATTGCAGCCATGTTGCTGTCATAAGGCAAAATGGCAATTTTGTCCTAAATTTAAATGTGTAACACAATTTTTTTAAGGGTTTTTTAGTCTATCTGCGTCTCTCTCTGTCACTTATGCTATTTCTGCCTTTAAAAAATGTTTCTTTTTGTCATTATTTCTGTCATATATCTATTCCGCTATTTTTGCAACCGCAACCCGCTATAACGCTATAGCGTTTTTCGTGGTTGGCCGCGACATCCGCATTTGATAACTTTGGTGCAAGCTTATCTTAGCATGTTCCAAATCAATAGGTCCAATTATTTCAAATACAGAATTTAAGTTTCTACGGAGGATAGAACACCAATAGTGTTAAGAAAAACATGCATTTCATTTTTTTGTGGCTTTTTTTTGCAGTGAAAGGTAGCATCATATGTTAGATTGATTAATCATCCATGCCCCTTTCATGCTATATTGCTGTGTGTTATTCTAATGACATCACGAAATCTTCAGCCCATATAATTTCCCAGATTATTTACATATTGTAGCTTTTAAAATATAATTGTTAAAAATCTAAGAATGTGTGTCTGTTTGCTTTGCGAGTTGTGTCATCAAACTATTGAAAAAAATGTTTCTGCATTTTCTCTATTAGTAATCTGTGATTTTAACTCTTTCCCGTGGCACTTATTTTAGGCAATAGAAACTGGGGTTGGCTATGGGCAGTGGCTTCATGGAGAGGCTGTTGCAGCTGGCATGGTATATATTTCTTTGATTACGACCATGAATTATACCTACACTTGTATATTTATCTTGTCCACTTTTTCCCTTGTGAGTGTCTTTCTTTTAATACTGGATCTATATTGAGGGAATCTGTATACGGACGTACACAGGTAATGGCTGTTGATATGTCATATCGCCTTGGTTGGATTGATGATTCAATTGTGAAGCGAGTTGGAGACATTTTAAAGCTGGCTAAGTTACCTGTTGCGCCTGCTGAAACCATGACTGTGGACATGTTTAAATCTGTTATGGCGGTAAGGGTTGATGCTTCAATACTCTTTTAATGTTCAATTTGTTTCAAGGGAAAACATTTTCTTATGTTAAAGAAGATAACACTTAACATTTTCCTTAACAAAACATGAGATTAATAACACCCTTGTTTTAATATGACTAACAGTTTATTTATTTTGGAATATCAGGTTGATAAGAAGGTCGCTGATGGGTTGCTAAGGCTTATCCTTCTAAAGGGCCCTCTAGGCAATTGCGTTTTCACAGGGGATTATGACAGAAAGGCCCTAGACGATACGCTTCGTGCATTCTGTAAATCCTGATCTTTGGGCTCGGTGTTTCTATTGCAGCTTTATCCAAATCTTTTTACTTTTTAGTTTTGGTTTACTCGATCATTGTTCTTGCTTGGTGTTGGCCGGACTTACTATTGTGGCTGGACTTAATTGTTCTGGTGTCGGATTTTTTAGTATTTGTCAAATGAATTGCACGATACTATTAGTTAATGAGATGAATTAGGAATATAAAGCTTTTATTCCACTATATTAAATGATGTATTTTTTTTATTTATATTCGAAGACGAAAAATTAATCTGTTTTATACTACGACTATTTGGATAAGTAGACGAGATTATTTTTTCAACGTTATCTAAATAAAAAGCTTCGCACCCCTGTAAGTAGAAACATAAGCTTCTGGTATGGAGTTTATATGAACTTTGGACTTTGGGCTTATTTACCTTATGGGCTAGCTTTTGGGGTAATGTTCGTATCAATTGATATCAGAAAAGTAAAATTAAGCCCTGTTCATACATGGGCTTCTCGGGTACGAAACGAGCCATTTCAAATAGGTTTATTGTCCCAGCCCAGAATACTATTAATCCAGCATGGGCTACATGGGTCCCTAGTAGTTTATCAAATAAATTAATAAGTCGGGCATTCCTTGTCCACCAAGCGAAATCGGTAGTTTCTTGGTCACGACCTGTTAAAGTTCTATTAAAGAGCGTTTCCACATGGTAGAACCTTTTCAGGGAATATAAGGTTTTCATGAGGCGGTCTTGAGCCGTCATTATGTCTTCCTGCTACAATCAAGTGGCGCTGATGGTGACGCTGACATTGCAGTGTCAACAAGCATGGGGTGCAAAATAAATCTCTTGTTCAGAAGTAATAATTAAGAGAATTTGGTGGGATGAAGAATAAGAAGATTCCTCTAATCATAATATAATAAAATAAAAGTAGTTCGTTCTGGTTTTGTTCAAACAGAAGCCAACTGTTACAGCTGCATGTCCAGTGTGAAGTTTACACGTGAGCTATTTATTAATCGTTTTCATTGAGAGAATGTAATGGAATAAACCGAATATTTAATGTAATGAAATAAACCGAATAATACTTAGAAGTAAAGGATAATGTGCATGGTTAAAATCAGGTTTTGTTTGCTTCCAAGTTGAGAACATTTGCATGGGGTAGTGCATGGTTTACAAGCATTCTGAACTAGACGAGCAAACATTTATAATGTTTTGAGTATATCTAATGATTCCACAATACTCAGTTGTAATTAAACTTTGGTGCTTTTATTGTGTATGCTTGACAAGTTTTCTCTGCTTTTCTTTTTTTGTTTAGGAAAATAAAATTTGTAGTGTATGCTTCAGTCACACTTGCTATATTTGATGGGAGGGTAATGAATAATGACTGACTTGAGAATCTGACTTGGTTACTTAACAGAATTTAGAAAATAGTGGGGATTTTCTGTATCACAGGTGACATGATTCAGGTCCTTGACTTCTTGTTTGTAGATTAAGTTTCAAGCCGAACAGTGTACTTACTGTTGTATTCGAAGGCTAACAGAGGAAGCATGAAAAATTGGAAATAGAGAGTTTCATGTCAATTATCAATTACAATGGTAAATATAAATTGTGTTGGTTGATATTTCCTATTTAACAGACATCCTTGATTAATCAATGATGATTGCTCTAATTTTATATCTCATGCGAGTTTCATAACATGCTCGGTACGTTCTACCAAAAATTATATATATTGACGTTGAAAAATAATAATAATTAATGTCCTTATTTTTTTTAATACAAATTTTGATACTTTTTATCCATTAAATCCAAATCAAAAGTTTTTATCAAAATAATGCATTAAAATTTGCTATGGTCGTTCAAGTCGCACATGGTGTGTGCACAACTTGCGCATGGCCGAATGAGCGTCTGTCACGTGGCATGCACTGCGAGATGCATATGGAGTTTGTGCATTCAAATTTCGCATATGATGGGTACATAATTTGCACTATTTAAACCCTAGTCATGCTCATCTCCCACACACAACATGAATGCGCATGACCCTCTATGTGTCTCACTTTATTATTTTGATGAAATATTTTGATTTTGTTTTAATCTAGTAAAAAGTTTTGAAATTTGAATTAGTATGGTGAAAATGTCCCTTTAAATTTTTATGAAAAGTGAAGTCTTGGATAAATTCTGATGTTATACCAATAATTATTTGTTCAAATGGCAAACAATTTATTTCCCTTTAATTAGATTTTTTTATTCAAGTCCTGGAAATGAAGAAAATAGTGTTAGGAAAGTCACCCTATTCGACAATATTCGAAGCAGATTAGACCAGTTGAAATAAAAACATAAAGAGACAAATTTGGATGCCCTTGTAATGGAAATAATGGATGAATAACAATAATGTTTAAACTCAGATAAATATATAAATAACATATTATTAAATTATACTATTTTTTATAATTTGAAATATTTTTTAAACATATATTTTCTTCCCCTATTTTCTATATTTTACTTGAATTAATTTTATGTTTTTTTAATTTATATTTGTATGTTTGTTTTACATAAATTTTTAAAACAATAGTATAAATCAACTTCTTTTTTTGTCAACTTTGGTACGGATCAATTCTCGGAGTTCCTTTATCGGACATAAGTAGTATATATAATATACAAATATTGAAAGAAATGTTATTTAACACCCGGAAATAAATTTAATTTTTTTTGTCATGTTTAAAATATTAATTACTGATATTTTTTAAAGTAAGAAAATATTCTTTCATTGGACATTTTCCCGCATTTTCTGCTAAAATGCAATGAATTTTAACATGTAATAAAGATAAAAAGAAAACATAAGAAAATAAATGGGAAACCATTCATGAGCATGAATTAAGTGAGTCAGATCAGCATTCATGATCAAACTCTGCCTCAAGCAGTTTCTTGGAAAATCTTTGGGGGCCAGAGGATAAGCCAAAAAATATTCGGTTGGGGGATTAGTCTCGTCTTTTCTCCGGTTGCGAAGCTTAGTGCACCCACTGTTACAATGAGGGGCTAGCCCAAACGGGCCGTACCCCGATGGCATGGTGCCCGGAGAAGGTTGAATGAGGATACCTCCTGGCAATGTACCAAAAAAAAAAAAAATGGCAAAAAATATTTCTGAAGCAAAAGCAGATCTATTTTTTTCCAAATTCATTAATATAAAAGTTAAATGTTGTTTTCTTATAAAATCACTCTCCCAAACCTCCAAGGGTAGCTCAGTTGGCAGCTGAGCTCCAAAGAGATTGCTTGGTGCAGGGATCAAATCCTGCCTCAAGCAGTTTCTTGGAAAATCTTTGGGGGCCAGAGGATAAGCCAAAAATCTTCTGTTGGAGGATTAGTCTCGTTCTTTCTCCGGTTGCGAAGCTTAGTGCACCCACTGTTACAATGAGGGGCTAGCCCAAACGGGCCGTACCCCGAGGGCATGGTGTCCGGAGAAGGTTGAATGGGGACCAAAAAAAAAATAAAAAAAAATCACTCTTCCCATTTTAATGATAGGATAAACCGCCACCATATAAAATAGAGACCCTTAACAATTATTAGCAAAAAGTTAACTAGTGAAATTTATAAAAGAGTAACATACTATTTATCACAACAAAACTTATATAATACATGGATGGTTAACGGAAAAAAATAATTTTAAAAATAATTACATCCACCAATTGCATTCTCCCAACCAAACCAGATACTTACAAAATTCACACCTCTATACGTGAAAACGGGCTTTTTTTTTCCCTTTTATTATAACATTATCTTTTCTTTTTAAAGAACCAGCAAAGCAAAAGATAGATGTGCAATAGCCCCCATGCAACGCTATTCAGCTACGCCATTACCAAGGAGTTATTAATCTGCCAATTTTCATCACCAGGAGCAACCTCAACAAGTTTTTTAATCTTCTTGTTGAGATAACTCATCTTACCCTTTGTCCGGATGACCAATGTAACATACTGAAACCATTGCAGGAAATTCTTATCGTTCAATCAGTGACTAGTGATCTGCATGGCTAAGCTATCCCCATAAGACTAAGTATTAGGGGTAGACATGGAAGCTACGACCAAATAAGGAAGGTTTGACAGTGGAACAAAAAAATCAAGTTGCTAGTTTGCAGGTCTGACCGCTGGAATAGTAGAGGAGGAGCCGATGATATGATCTGGGCATGTCACAAGTTAAAAAACTATCGGAGTGACAGCACGTAGGACACACACACCGGAGACAGGCCATGCGTGTGGCATCGCGTGGAGGCTCATGAGACAGCATATAGTGATGGTTCCGACGACGGTCGGCTCTTCGGATCTTTTTGAGTTGAATGGTCACTTCTTCTCAATTGGAGGTTTGTAGATAGGATTTCTAGGTTGGGTAGTGGTCGGATGGTGTTTGTACTGGTTTCAGCCTTTAGAAACCAAAGGTAAAAATGAACCTGCTTTGATACCACATTGAAATATGAGAAATAAGTTTTTCTGAATTTATAAAATTTGATTTACACTGATATGAGATATTTACACCTGAGTAAATGACAAAAAAATTTATCGATTAGCAAAATAGTAATGATTTACTTGTTCTCACACTTTGCTTTTTCTTTTGCTATTTTTTTTTTGGCAATATGCTTCCTCTAAGTTGGAGAAAACACTAATAATAAAATTCTCTCTTTAATATTTTAGCCACGGACTTGAAAGCACAGAGAAAGTTTTGGAACCAGTACTTATCAAAGGATTTCTTATTGATATGCTTGATACTCATTAATTTCATGTCATCATTCTGTGTTTGTCAACTAATTTGAGTGTCTGATTTGTTTTTCTAATATATGTAGCATCAAAAGCTGTTGAACTAACGATTGGAGCTCAAACAACTTACACTTACTTGTCAGGATCATAATATAAAATGGAAATGAAATGTTTCACTACCCTCCCATATTTATAGGAAGATCATCTTTTTGTGCTTCCACATTCTCTTGTTCCACACATTTTTAATTTCAAGGAGATATCAAATTTGCTACAATTTTGATTGAAGAAGCCAGGAAAGCTTGAACATTTTTTTTGCCCAATAATTCAACCAGATATGGATAGTGTTCTGAGGGACAACTTGTTATTGCAAGGATGGCTCCACTATCAACAACTGAATATATATAAATTGGGATATTCTACTACAAATCTGGTGTTATCCAACTCCAGTACTTATGATAGCATTTCCATTCGTCAGCTCATCGAGAACTTGCATGGCATATCAATGGGAATTTAAC